GGAATGTAGAGATTACATTCTGTCATATTTGTGACATCCCAGTTTGTTGTTGGACTGTGCCCTGTATTCTTTCCTTGTTGCTTTGGATATTTGGGCTGGACTGGTGGGTAGGTAGTGAGGACTGCTGACATTCATTCATTATCTCCAAATCCCTGAAGGAGAGTGGTTGATCCCTTAGTTTACCACTTTGTCTTTTTTTTTTTTTTGCAGCTTTTGGCCGGAGCTGGGTTTGAACCCACCACCTCCAGCATATGGGGCCGGCGCCCTACTCTTTGAGCCACAGGTGCCGCCCAGTTTACCACTTTGAAAACGTTGCCAAGTCCAAACCAAGAGTTTAAGTGTTTCCAGTAAGCAGAGCAGTTGGTGGGTTTCCTTTCTCTGTGTAGAGCCTTCTGGCATTAAGGTGAACTTAAAGAAGAAACTGGCTAGGTCTGATGGCTCACCTCACGCCTGTAGTCCCAGCACTTTATCTGGCTGAAGAAGGAGGAGCTCTTGTGGCCAAACATTTAGACCAGGCTAGGCAGTATAGCAAGACCCTGTCCCTACAAAAAATAAGAAAAACTAGCTGAGTGTGGTGGCATGTGCCTGTGGTCCTAGCTACTCAGGAGGCCAAGGCAGGAGGATCACTTGAGCCCTAAAGTTTGAGGTTTCAGTGAGCTATGATTGCACCACTGCATTCCAGCCTAGATAACAGACTAAGACCCCTTCTTTAAAAAAAAAAAAAAGAGCAAAAACCTTTTAAAGAATATTTTAATTGGTTAATAAAGGTCTTTCTGATCATCTTAGTTAACCAGAGGAGCGTTGGTGTCCAGAAAGCATTGAAAATAGAGTGATGGGCCTTGTAGGGTTTTAGAGCTAAAAGAGGTTTTAAAGGTCCAAAAAGAAAAAAAAAAGCCACCAGAGCCACGTGGTCCATTTTCATTGTGATCGCTTTTGAGTTCACCGCCTTCCCCTTCCTGTTCCCCGCAGTGAACACCTACCTCTTCATGATGCAAGCTCAAGGCATTCTGATCCGGGACAACGTGAGGACAATCGGTGCTCAGGTGTACGAGCAGGTGCTTCGGAGTGCTTACGCCAAGAGGAACAGCAGTGTAAATGACTCAGGTGTGTTTTTAGTAAAGAGATGGTTCGGTTTAGAATGTCTTCCCAAGAGAGGGAAATTTGGTTTCAAAAACTATTTTCAGTGGGAAAAAGTGCACAGTAGAAGAGTGGAGGTTTGGCTGACTTTCACCTGACTGCTGAGAAAGCTTTTGCCAAATGAATTTTCCTTCATTTTTAAAAACTGTATGTCTTAGTCCATTTGTGTTGCTATGAATGAATACCTGAGGCTGGGTATTTACAAAGAAAAGAGGTTTGGCTCATGGTTCTGCAGGCTCTATAAGAATCATGGCACCAACACAATCACAGCAGAAGGTAAAGGGGAGCTGAGTGTAGACATTGCGCACAAGAGGGATGGGGGGGGGGGCAAGCTCACTTATTAAACCAGCTTTCCAGGGACCTGAGAGCAAGAACTCACTCATTACCATGAAGACAGCACCAAGCCATTCATGAGGGATCTGTTTTCGTTGAAGCATAACACACTTCCATTTTATAATGACCATGTAACCTGGGGACTGTTCTCACCAATTATAATTATAGAAGCAACTTCTGGAAGGAATGTTTAATAGGCCACCTCATTTACCTTCTCCGCTCAGGTGTGGTACTCATCCTGTGGTTTAATCACAGCTATGTGGTTAGTTTTGGTGGTCAGCTCATTCATTTTTTCAGAAAGCTTTTCAGACCATTGAGCTAAACACAGCCATGATGGATATAAGAGTAAACATCTTTTCCTCAATCTTTGGAACTTTAGCCTGTGGGTTTATCTCATAAGCACTAATTGTATAAAGAGGAAAAAGAACACAGAGTTTAGATTGGCCTGCCCAACATTATGGGAATTTGTGGCTGAGTGCAATGGCTCACACCTATAATCCCAGCACTTTGGGAGGCTGAGGGAGGAGGATCACTTGAGCCTGGGGATTTGAGGCCAGCCTGGGCAACATAGTGCCACCCTTTCTCTAAGTGGAAGGGGCTTATTCTTGAATCATGGTTTTGACTGTAGCTATTTTTACAAGACTGTGACAACTTCTTCACCTTTGATAAAACTTTTCTCTTTCTTTCTCTCTCTTTTTTAACTGTTACAAAAACCTGATACAGGAAATATTTCCACATGGTTAAATGGGACTATCATGAGGCTTCCAGTCTAGCCAGGGATGGTTTTTATTTAAAAAATGAATTCTGGGCTCGGCACCTGTGGCTCAAGCAGCTAAGGCGCCAGCCACATACACCTAAGGTGGCGGGTTCGAATCCCCAGCCTGGGCCCGCCAAACAACAATGATGGCTGCAACCAAAAAATGGCCAGGCGTTGTGGCGGGTGCCTCTAGTCCCAGCTACTTGGGAGGCTGAGGCAGGAGACTCACTTGAGCCCAGGAGTTGGAGGTTGCTGTGAGTGTGATGCCATGGCACTCTACCCAGGGGGATAGCTTGAGGCTCCGTCTCAAAAAAGAAAAAAAAAAATGAATTCTGAGATTTCACTGTGGTTAAACATTCATGATTTGCCTCTTTTCTTTAACCAAGGACTAATGTGCTTTCCTTTGGCTTTTTACTTCAGCCAAGCCTAAGACATATTTAAATACATACATATTTTAAAAAAATTCTTCCCTCTAAGTCAGTCCTCTCTTCTATAATGAATTCTAAGATTGTTCAAAGTTCACTAAAACCCAAAATTTCTTTGCAGACACTACAAATAAGAATTATTCTGTGGTGTTTGGGAAATTAAGAGAAGCATTACCTATCAGAAGGAAGTTAAATCCTTAATAGAATTGACCACGTCCTAATTTATAGTCTCTCCTGCTGGCTAATTTAGCTGTAACTAAGGATTATAGTTAGCCAAACTGGTAATGCTTTCTTGTTTGCAAATAGCAAGTGAGAGACTTTTCAGGACTTTTTAGGCAAATTGTAGTCATACTGGGTCAAATCGGAGCCCTGACCCCTACCTGGGTGAGGTTGCAGCTCTCATTGTGAGAGAAGGCCGAGCACATTCACAGCATGTAATGTTAGGTTTTAGGCATAATTTCCACACGTGTTGTCTCACTTGCCACTAATACGGCTCTGTCAGGTGAGGCAGGATTTTATGTGACTTCCATTCACTGCACATTATGCGTATAATCTCAGGGGAGATGGAGTAGCTTAGTCATATGACTCCTTAAATCTACCCAAACATACTTCTCGTTAATGCAACTAGGGCATCTTTTGACCACTGTTCTAGCGCTCTCCCCACACGTCACTCTGGATAAAAGAACAGTTGTGCTCTCAGGACATTTATTGAGTCCATATATCCTGCTGCTTCTCCAAGGTTAGATGAGGCTAGAATGTCTGCCAGTCTGGGCTTTTGGTGAGATGGTCAGCTCTCTCAGAAGTTAGAGGAGCAGATGGCAGGACCCCATCTTATACCACTGCTAGGCGTGCAGCCCAGGCTCTCACTAATTCCTGAGGGGTTGTCTTTGAAAACTGAGCTCTTAAGTGAGTTGCACTCTTGGGAGTTACCTCCAGTAGCCCTTTGTTTGACTTGGCATGCTTTTATTCTCAAATTACCATCTACCAAAGTAATTCTTTTTCACATCCCTCTGGTTGGAATAGTTAACCTGTTTTTTTTTTTTTTTTAACCTGTTCTTTATTAATGTGTCTATTCTCCTAATAGATTGGAAATCTTTGCCTTCAGGAACTGTCTTACTGTGTACCACGTGCTTTGATTGCATTATTTTATGTCATCCTCATGAGAAATCTGGAAGGTAGCTACTGTGACCCCATTGTAGGGATGGCAGGACCAAGGCACACAGAAGTTACACAACCTGATGTTGCAGTAGAGTTAGCATTTGCTGTCTGACACCAGTTCCTGTCCTCTGAATCCCAGCAGTCACTTGTTACCTTTGTCATCTTGGCATTTCCAGTACCTTGTGGCTTGTACACTGTCACCTTGTACCAGTACCTTGTAGCTTGTACACTGTCACTCCCAGTACCTTGTAGCTTGTACACTATAACTCCCAGTACCTTGTAGCTTGTACACTGTAATTCCCAGTACCTTGTAGCTTGTACACTGTAACTCCCAGTACCTTTTAGCTTGTACGCTGTGACTCCCAGTACCTTGGAGCTTGTACACTGTG